GTAATTTGGTATGGCTTCGCGGGCCAAATGTAATTAGGCTGCGGGCCAAATTTGGCCTGCGGGCCAGAGTTTGACACCTATAATTTAGAAGATGGAGATGGTTAACTCATTGGACAGCAGTTTTTGCATTTAGTTTCCTTCCATTTTCGACTATTTGATAAACAAAAAATGTTTGTTTTGAACAGGTAAACGATACCGCAATGAACAAAATTAGGTTAGAAATGTGTTTATCTGGACAAACTTTGAAAGCCTAGATGGAAGCAACAGTGAGAATGTGACTTGTGTTTTTTCTCTTTGTGTTTTCTTGTGAGTTAACTTAAAGTCTCTCATATCATCTTCTTTGTGTTAATAGTTTACAGACTCAGACAAAATCAGACTGTCACAGCTGGATTAACGAGTTATTGGGTGAAAGCAGGTAATCAAGACTTTCAGCAGATTTGCAGTTTCTTTGACTCATTAATACATTTCATCCAGACTTTTAATGGCTTCTTCTTTAGATATGTCTTTCCATTGGTCTGGAATCTCTCCTCTGCCCATGAACTTTTTCCCATAGTGCTCTTCCAGTTGTTTTTGATACTGACATACAAACCACTTCCAATATGCCAGATTAGACCCATCAGGGGTGATGCTCCAGGTATCATACGGCGGACCAGCAGTTTTGTATTGTTTGTGGGGAATGGCTTCCTTTGAATCATATTCAGGGTAAAAAGTGCCATCACTTGCAACATTTGTTGTGCAGAAGGTGACGCTGAGCTCTACTGTGTCTTTATAGTGCCATCCTTTTATCCCATCAGGTCGATGAAAAGGAGTGCTGTGGTCATTAGGACTGTGATCTTCGATGGTGTTGGTACAAACAGCTGCACAGAATGGACACTTTACCCAGCAGCAGTTACACAGCTGATCTATGAGGATTTCTTCAGGCTTCTCCCTGGATTCCTTCATCTTATCCAAGGAGAGGCTATACATGTCCTTAATGATGGGTTCAAATCCTTTTTCTATCTCTTCCTTGAGGAAATCACATTTTTTTATGTCAGTGAAGTTTTCAGAAGGAATGTTGTCAAATGTCAGCTCATCCTTTAGGACATGACAAAATTCATTCAGCCACATTTCTGTGTCTCCTCTCTGATATTGGACTTTTTTTACTGCAGTAAATAAAGCTTGATTCACGGTTTTTTGGATGTCATCAACATTTTTCTTGAGTATATTCACAGCTTCATCTTTGTGACTCATGTAGATGTATTGCTGCACTTCTGCTTTAATGAAAGCTTCTGTTTGTTTCCTTGGATTTGTGATGTAGGTGATGAAATCATCAAAGTTTTCTTTCTCAGCGAGTGACCTCAACATATGTTGTTCCAAGTTCAGTCTGTTCCCATTGAATGCTGGGAAATTACACCTCATCCTTCCAGCGAGATCAATGGCAGTCTTGTTACAGACAGCCTCAACAGTGGACACTTTCAGTTTCTCACAGATCAGTTCTCCAAGCACAACAGCAGATGAGTTTTCTTTACAAAAGCTTCTAAAAGCTGTGTAATACTGTGTTTTCTTGCTTTCCAAATAAGTGATTGGATCATTGTTCATTTTAAATTTCTTGTGTGACTGTAGAAGCCAACTTTCTGCCTTGTAGAACACATAGAGCAAGAGATCAACTTTAAACTCCTTGTTTAAATTGTATTTCCTCTCTGACAAAAACTTCTGAACTTTTTCTGTCACATGATTGGCCACTTCACACAAATAAGTTGATGAGTAGCCTCTTGCAGCTACAGGTTTGTTTTTGATTGCATGAAGTGACTCTTCTTCAGCTTGGACAATGAGCGATCTGATCTGTTGTTGTTCTTCATAGGAAAAACCACCTCTTGAAGTATATTTTTTGCAAAAATCAACCAACAGACCTGTCGTCATATATTCTGAATATTTACCAACGTCTGATAATCTTTTGTATCTGCCATTACTTTTGCATTTATCTGTGAGAGTTTGCTCAAAACCAAGTTTTTCAATGATATTTGACTTATCTTTTTCCAAGTCGATGTCTTTAATCGGTTCTATATCTGATGTTAATTCAGCAACCCAGCCGCTCCAAACAGAGCTGAACTGCCTTTGAAGTTCCACTTCATCTTTGGCCTTATCCTTCAGTTTCTTAGCGAGCTCTTTGCTCTTTTGCAGCAGTTTGTTCTCGAACTCTGATTTCTTCTCATCCAGTTTTTTACAAGCTTTCTTCTGCTGGATAACTCCATCCAGTTTTATTTTCACCATTTTCACTTGATTAGTAAGAAATTCCTCAATGTCTATTTGAAATCGTCCTCTCCACTGAGCCAAGATCTCTCTGTCTTTGTCATCCTCAAAGTACTTTGTCATTTCTTTTCTGACTTCTTCATATGTTTTGTTTGTTTCTTTAAAAAGGTAAGATTGTTCAACCTCATCAAGTTTTCCATTTTCAATTCTGTTATGAAGTTGGTTTTCAATGGTCAACATGTTGCTCCTCAGGGTCCAGGTCCAGCTCCCATACTGGACTTCCAGTTTTCTGTACACTGAAATTTCAAGTGTGTTTTTAAAACTGAAAAGAAAACTTTCATTCAGCAGTGCAGTCCACAAGTCCTGAATTTTGCTTTTGAACTGTGAGAGAGTGATCCCAGCAGACTTTGAAGCTTTAGAGAGGATGGTGTTCTTCACTTCCTGGATGCTCTCACTGTAATCTGGATTTGGAGGAGCCATGGGTGGACTGCCCTCCCACAGCTGGGCACAGTATTTCACATCTTTCTGAACATCAAAATCAATGACATCACTGAAGCACTCTGCATTAAAAACTTCCTCTTTGGCTGCTAGTTTGGCCATCTGGTCCAGTTTTTCCTGCAGGCGTCTCTTTCCATCCATGTTTTTCTCTGCTGCTGCAACATCTGTGACATTCTGGTGAACAAACACACAACTGGGAGAAAGTTTAACTTCTTTCATCCTCATGAAAGCCTGAACAACAATCTGCAGGATGTCCTGCATATCAGAAGGATTCTCTCCAAAGATGTTGATCAGTGTCATGTTTCCCAGACCAACAACAAGTGTTGCCAGTTCATTGTCATGATGAAGAGTGCTGTTACCTTCTAACTCAAGAGCACGCAGTCCTTCAGTGTCCACCACTAGAACATAGTCAAACTTCAAGTCTTTCTTCATCTCCTCTGATACTTTGAGCAGCTGCATGAAGGCACCTTTGGTGCACCTGCCAGCACTCACTGCAAACTGCAGCCCAAACATGGTGTTCAGCATTGTTGATTTTCCACTGCTTTGTAGGCCCAAAACTGACAACACAAAAACTCTCTGGTCCCCCAGTTTCTTGATGACTTCTTCTAAAAGACTGGAGATCCATGTTAGAGGCACATGACCTGCATCACCATCCATCAGCTCCATCGGGTGTCCTGATATCATCAGCTGTGCAGCCAGCTCAGGGTATTTAGACCAGTCAGAGTGTCTGCTCTCTCTTTGTGTTGTTTTATGGGCTTCATAGATCTGTCCCATTTCTCTGAAGATGTGCTCCAAACCAAAAGTTGCAGACTGAAGTTTCTTTGATATGTCTTCAAGTTCAGTTTGTTTTTTTAATAACAGATCTGATTTGTCCTGTTTTTTCTTCAAAGCCAAAACCTCAGACCACTTTTCATCATAACTTTTGAGAATTGAAGAAACATCATCTGTGGAGAGGGCATCTATGAAGATCTGAGTCCATTTTAGGAAATACTCTCTGTCTTTTGATGAGAGACTTCCAATGAACAACTGCATCAGTTTACTGCAGGAAGCAGCACATTGTTTCTGACGTATTTCCATCAGTTTTTCTTCCTTGTCACTTTTCTCCTTTTCAATGTTTCCGCTGAGATGAAACAGTTGTCTGTGTGTTTTGCTCCACTGATGCCACAGTTGGCCTTGACAAGGGAGAAATTCATCTTTGATCTTTGAGACATCCATGTTTTTCTTTTTAAGCAGATTGATTATTTTCACAGCAGCAGATTTCCCTCTTTGACAGGCTGGGTCAGTTTCCTTCTCTTTGATTCCTGGGTCAGTTTCATCCACTCTGACTCCAGAGAGCTCAGCCATGGATTCAAGCTGGAAACGAAGCTGGAAGGATGGTTTCAAGCTGGAAAATTCTAGAGAAGACAAAACTTCTCTGATGATCTTTTTTAGCTGTTCAGATACACCTGAGTGGTTTTTGTCTTTGAGGCCCATTATGTAATTTCCATTTTTTGTCTTAACCGCATCACGACTGTCATCAATATTTAAACAAATGAGAGGCTTATGAGATTTAAAAAGAGATGATATAAGTGATCGACTTTCTTCATTGCTTTGCAAAGATGCCACAAGAAAAATATTGATGGAAGATTTTTCAATCAGTATGTCACGCTGTTTTTTAATCAACAGAGCATCACCATGGAGATTACAGAAGGCAATGCAGTCATTGAAGGCATCATTGGGTTTTCCAGCAGGGCAGTACCAGGCAATCTCTGCCACACCATCCATCAGATAGCGAGACTTGGTGCTTCCTGGGCAGTTTCTGTGGAAGAAGGTGTCGTGACGGTTGTTGATCAAAGTGTTCATCAGCTGAGATTTAGACACTGACAAAGAACCCAGGCGGAAAAATGACACCAAGGGTGTTTCAGCTTTGTAGACTGGAACACTCTTCATGGTGATGATCTTAGGGTCATCTTTGATTTGAGTTACCTTCCAGGTTTTTGTTATCTCTCTGTAGGTCCACAGAGGAAACTGAATCTCCTTTGTAACTGGGTCAGGAACAAGTAAAGGTAAGGCATACTGACACTGAGAGAGCTTCGTAATCATCATCTGTTTAAGGAAGCTGTCTGAGCAGTGAAATACTGCCATCTGAACGTCCATTGGATGCACATGAGCCTTCTCATTTTTATTTGTGCCTGCAGTGGTTTTAAACAATTCCTCTAGTTCATTGTCATCTATCTCACTGTTGTCAAACATTGTGGGCTTTAAATTGGTCACCTCAGGACTGTCTGATCTTACAGGAATATATCTGGCTTTGTAGTTCAACATTATCAGCCTATGGAGAAAAATGTAAGCTAGATCTTTCTCAGATGTTTCATGGTCCATCTGTTTCCCAGGTGGACGTATTTGAAGAAAATCTGCTTTTGGCAACTTCTGTTGAACTTTGTCTTGAAGGTGAAGTCTGTCAAGCAGTGTCTCAATTTCTGTTTGACTCGATTTCTATACATATCAAATAAAGAGGGAGTATATGTAATTAAATTACATTGCCATGTGGCAAAACAGACTAAATTGTAGTTTTGATCTTTTGAATAAACATTTATTCTCCTACCTTCTTTTTTCCACTGATGTAATCTGTGGTTTCTGCAGGACAGCATGAATGAGATTCAAATGCATTATACTCCATGCATGTTGGTGCAAATTATTTCAAAGTTATAAACTCAGCTGTTCATATTTTTAAGATTTTTGTTTTACTGTATAATGAAAAATGTTACCATTGTCATTAGTCTTGAATGATTCAAAAGATTTATCTCCGGGTTTACTCTCCTGCTCATCAATGTGTTCAGCCACAGGCTCACTCTGAAAAAGTAAATACATTAATATGTAAATACATACATATAAATAAATATACTGTAAATACATTTGCCTGAAATTTAGCTTATCAGGTTAATGCCACTGACATTTATAACAACAGGATGAAAAGATTTTTCTCTGTATTTTCATGAGAAGACAGTAAAATATTTTAGAATGGATCTGACTGACACTTACATTTCTAGTCTTATTGACTGCTCAAAGCAGCTTATCAACTGCATCAAGACCTGTTCTAATTTTCCAATAACCAGTAAATCTAATAAGTGTCTCTGCAAACCTAAAATACTTTTTGCTGTCAAGCAACAAAGGAAACCATTTTTTAAAAACTGTTATTATAATCAAGCGATCTGAGGGGTTACTAAACTTCTAAAATGGGGGGGAGGCTACCGTGGCTCAGGGGGTTGGGAAGCTCATCTGTAACCAGAAGGTTGCCGGTTTGATCCCCTTGCTCTCTCTGTCCTGGTCGTGTGTCCTTGGGCAAGACACTTTACCCTACCGCCTACTGGTGTTGGCCAGAGTGGCCGATGGCGCGATATGGCAGCCTTGCTTCTGTCAGTCTGCCCCAGGGCAGCTGTGGCTACAACTGTAGCTTGCCTCCACCAGTGTGTGA